TAAACTATCAAATAAATAAAACTCTGACTCAGCTTATTAACAATAATATATTTCCATTTAAACTAAAACAGGCTGATTATTCATATACTGTATATTATATGATACAGTATATATGTATATCGAAATATCGGAAATGTGTTTAAAAATCGTATCACCGTTATTGAGAAATTATATCGCGATATATATTGATATCGAATTATTGTCCAGCCCTATTGTAAGGTACATTTCGTTCAATTCTTTTAACTTGGTTGTACATTCGACAGCAAACGATATTAATTTACTACGAACATGTAATTCCTTTAATCCTGTAAATGGTTTGATGCAGGCGGGAATGTCTGAGCTCAGCTCAGGCTAAAGGAGGCTTGAAGCACGTTCGACGGCCATTTTCTAAGCGCCACACCAAGGATAATTAGGATAATTTTTCTTTTGTAATAAAATGCCTTTTGATATCCAAATTCTGCATTAAAGTTAAGAATGTACAGATCGAGTTTAATTAGTTATGTAATGTTGGAGAAAACGGCGAAACTGTCACTGTACCAGCTCACAGCACTATGGGCAGTAGTTAGGCTAGCGAAAGTTTTGTAAAGAAATGAAAACAAGTCGCACCACAACAATTTCTCGCACAAATGCTTCCAAATATATTTTGAGGTCGCGATATTAAATTTTGGGAGCATATGCGACCAAAACGGTCGCAATTTCGAGCCCTGATTATCTTTTTTACTTAACCTTAATAGAACTACCAAAATTAACTAGGTTCATGTCAGAGTGCTAATTTTGCCTTGCCACTCTTTGTAATTTGGGATGTACAATAAAATTAGATCATAACGCTAAAATGTATTTTATTCTATTTCAGATGGATGAATATGTGAAAACCAAACTAAGAGAATGGAATCTTGAAGAGTTAATTCCCACATTTGAAGGTATATAGTAATATTTGACTCGGTTCATTGTAATCAGTAGGCCACTTAAAATTAATAAATTGTTTTACATGACTCAAACTTCTAAAATATTGGTGAGTAGGGGATGTTATATTTTATATTTTTAGCGAAAAGACGAACGGCAACAGAGATATACTAAAACTAGAAAATTTAACTTTAATTTGTCAGTATCTCAACATTTTAAACTCTCAACAGTTCAAACAATTACAAGAAAAGAGAAACCTTCAAAACAAATGCCTAGTCTAAGTGTTTAATGGTCTTGCCACAGAATGGCCCAATAAAAGCGTCCTCCTGACAATAGCAAAACAACAGCAAAATAAAAAATATAAAATGTTAAAAAAATCGAGGCGGCACCAAAAAATTGAGGTGGGCGGCCATGTAAAACAATTTATTAATTTTAAGTGGCCTTAGGGCTGCCCTTGTCTAATGTTTTGTCTGGTTGACTTGTGATGTTCATTTGAAGCATTAGTTGAATAATTGCACATTTATTAATAAACCATTTAAATCATAATAATTAGTCTATAATTTGTCCACTTCCAAAACAAAGATTCACATATAATGTACTCACCCCCTTGTCATCCAAGATGTTCATGTCTTTCTTTCTTCAGTCGTAAAGAAATTGTTTTGTTTTTTTGAGGTAATCATTTCAGCATTTTTCTCCATATAATGGACTGAGAAGGTGCCCCAATTTTGAACTTCCAAAAGACAATTTAAATGCTTCAAACGATCCCAAATGTGGTTGCAAATGATCCCAGCTGAGGAAGAAGGGTCTTATCTATTTTCAGTAAGAAAATACAATTTAAATACTTAATAATTTCAAATGCTCGTCTTGCCTTTCTCTCCCTGAACTCTGAGTATTCTGGTTCAAGACAGTTAGGGTATGTTGAAAAACTCCAATCGTATTTTCTCCCTCAACTTCAAAAATCATTTCAAAATCATCCTATGTCGCTGCAGAAGTACCGACCAAGTCTTTGCAAAGTGAACATGCAAAGAAGATCAAACACCTTTAACAAAAAAGGGTAAAACAGCGATATAGGGCGATTTTGAAGTTGAGGGAGAACATGAGATGGGAGTTTTCCGACTTACCCTAACTATCATGAACCAGAACAAAAACAGTCCAGGCAGAGTAAGACAAGACAAGGGTTTGGCATTACAAAGTGTATAAATTGTATTTTTAATGAAATAACCAGTCTTTACACTAAGAAAGACCCTTCTTTCTTGGCTGGGATTATTTACAACCGCATTTGGGATCGTTCGAAGGTGCATTTAAACTGCATTTTTTGAAGTTCAAAATCAGGGCACCATATCAGTCCATTACATGGAGAAAAATCAGGAAATGTTTTCCTCAAAAAAACAATTTCTTTACAACTGAAGAAAGAAAGACATGAACATCTTGGATGACAAAGGGGTGAGTACATTATATGTGAGTCTTTGTTTTGGAAGTGGACTTCTCCTTCAAGTTTATTTTTAGTTGTATGAGACAAATGCTTTTGGACAATAATTTTTCAAAGCAATATTTGTTTAACACAAAAGCTGAGCATACATGAACAATTGCTGTTTATGGTCATCTGCATCAAAATACTTTTATGTTCTGCATATTTCTTTCACTTACAGCTGAGAATATCGATCAAGAAACCCTCCTTCTTTTAGATGAGGTCACACTGACTTCTCTTATCCCTATTATTGGACTTCGTTTAAAATTCAAGAAGTACCTCAAGAATGTGCTTGATGTAAGTACAAGGTATTAGGTGTAGACAGCATGGGGTACATTTGCTTTAAATGCAAAAGGTCTTTGGGATCTGATATCAGAGCATTTTTTTCATATTTGAGAGTTGTACATCATGTATATTCTACATCCACATACTTTCAGTGTGCTCAAGCTGGATGTAATCGCACGTTCAGTATTATTAGATCATTTAGAAGACACCTACTGGAGCATGCTAATGAAATTGGAAATGAAATGGAGGAAGCCCCTTTGGTTGAGCCTGAAAACTATTCATCAAATTCAGTTTTAGAAGCTGTTGAACAGAGTGATGAGGAATGTGATAAAATTTCTGAAGAACAATGTGATGAGTTTGAGGAGGAAAATATAAGAGACAGAGTAGCATTGTTTTTAGCAAAATTAAGGTCAAATTCCTCCCAGACATTGAGTGCTGTTAATTTTGTGGTAGAGCACACATCTAGCCTTGTCAGTGATGTTGTTGAATCTCTACAAAGAAAAACTGCCTCTTTTTTAAGAGAGATAGGCCACATCGATAGTCCTGAGAGCCAGAATTTTTTAGAACATTTTGCATTTGCAGCTCAACCATTTCGGGGCTTTGAGTCAGAGTACAAGCAAATGCAATATTTTACTCAGACTGGATACTTTGTGCATCCAAAAGAAGTGCCTTTCCCTGGTGTCTCATATACTCAAAAGAGAGACACTTTGATGGGGACTGTAAAACAAGTGGCAGTCCGAGATACATTTCAGCTAATTCCTTTAAGGCCTTTGCTAAAGCTGGTTTTAGAAAGTCCAGGAACAATGGACAAGATCTTTGAATGGCAAAATCAAGAAAGCACTGGTCTTGAAGATTTTAGAGACGGCACAATTTTCAAAGCCAGTGAACTCTTTTCCAAAGAGTTGTCCATTCCTCTTGTACTGTACAACGATGAATGCGAGATGGTAAATCCACTTGGATCCAAAACCTCAGTTCACAAGCTAGGCTTTGTTTATTTTACTCTTAAATGCTTGCGACCTGAGTATCTCTCCAGCCTAAACTCTCACTTCTTGTTGGCAGTGTACAAGACAGATGACATAAAAACTTATGGAATAAATTCTGTCTTAGATCCAATTGTGTCTGAGATTAAGGATCTGGAACTGGACCAAGGTTCACACAAAACATTTCAAGGGTACTATTAAAGCAGGCGTTGCACAGGTTTGTGGGGATAACCTGGGTCTTAATTCCATCCTAGGCTACACAGAAAGTTTCTCAGGGAAAACTGTGTGTCGATGGTGTCGGGTTCAAAGAGAGGTTTTGAGAGAACAGACAGTTGAGGACCTATCAGTGATGCGCAACAGGATTAACTACCACTCTGACCTACTTCAGAATAACCCAACTGAAACAGGCATCAAAAGAGAGTGTTCACTCAATAAACTTCAGTTCTACCATGTGACTGACAATGTAACTCCTGATGTCATGCATGACATTCTGGAAGGGGTTGGAGGTTATGAAATCAAGCTTGTTCTTAATTCTCTGACTGAACAAAAACTCTTGACACTTGATCAGCTGAATAATAGACTTACAAGCTTTGATTATGGTTTTTCGGATAGTCACAATAAGCCATCTGTTATCAAACCTCAGGATCTTAAAAACCCTGATGGTCCATGAGACAAACAGCAGCACAGATGTGGTGCCTTCTAAGGTTGCTCCCTCTTATGATAGGGGATTTGATTCCAGAAGGCGAGAAACACTGGGAACTAATACTTTCATTACTTAGCTGTATGGAATTGATTTTCTCTCCAGCCTTGACTGCAGAGGCAGTTATATTTTTGCAGCATCTGAGTGAGGAACACCATAGTCTGTTTTTGGAGCTTTATCCAGACAGGCATTTGAAGCCAAAGCACCACTTCATGCTTCACTATCCTGGGGCCATCAGGAAACTTGGACCTTTGGTTCGGTTCTGGTCCATGCGTTTTGAGGCAAAACATGGTTTTTTCAAAAGACTAAGTCATATAACCTGCAATTTTCGGAACATTTGTAAAACACAGGCTTTCCGACATCAGATGATGTTGTGCTACACCCTGTTGTCTGAGAAGATGTTCTCACTTGACTTTGAAGTTGGTCCAGGATACACCACACTCCTGGCATCTATAGACGATTTTGAGAAAGTGAAATGTGGTTTTGAGGGAATCCCATTGTTCTCAGATGTCTATTTGCCATCTTGGATTAAATACAAGGGAGCAACCTATAGGCCAGGAATGACACTTTTTGTATCTCACTCTGCTGATGGTGAGCCCCAGTTTGCAACCATTAGGAATGTTGTGGTCTTTGACTCCAAAGTCAAATTTATTGTGAAAAAATGGGACACACTTGGATTTGACAGGCATTATTTTGCATTCTCTGTGTCTCCTTCTTCTGTGCTTGATTTGGTGGATATTCACTCTGTTGAAGATCACCACCCTCTACATGTTGTGATGTCCTTAAAGGACAATGAGAACCACCATTACATCTCGCTGCGATACAGGCTATTTTAGGAGGGGGTGGGAGGGGGGTTGTTGGGGATGAGTGGGGGGCGGATGGACGGGGTTGTGGTAGCATGGTGATCAAAAACAGCATTAGTCCATGATTGTGTACACCTACTACGAAGTACTACCTCATGCATGTTTAAACAAATGTATACAAATATCAACAAATTTCAAGTCATCATGGGGACATCGCAATACATGTAAGTTTTACTGACAGTAATGGCTTAGTTAAAATTAAGTGTCCTGTTAATCAAGTGCCAAGTTGGTCAGTAATGCCATCATGAATGATTTATGTGATGACATGTATGGCTGCACGACATTGGAAAAAACTGACATTGCATGTTGCTTTTCTACAATACAAACTGCAATATGAAAACAATACCTCACTTCAGTAGCTTTAATATGGAAATACTGTTTTATGAATTTAAATCTATAAATATGTATAAATACATATTCAAGTAAATTTATATGCATGCCATTTTCTTTCTTTCATAGTGATTGCTGTTTTAAAGTGAAATTCTGGACATAATTTGTACGTACCTCTATCCGTTATACCAGACTTGTCTTCTATGATGTTAGTGTTAATGTACCTTAACCTTGCACGTTCTGGCATGTGACTATCGCGGATACACACATCACAGTATTGTTGTTGACACAATATATTGGGCAGGCTTAACATACAGTAAAAATGCAGACGTGAATTAGTATTCATTTTTATTTATTAAAGGAATCAATCAAAGAGCCTGCAACTACAACAACAGGACCAAGGGAGCAGCAGCAGGGTCCTGAGCACAGAAGAATGGTGGAGCAAGCCGCAGCATTTGTAAGGTCCCAGTCTGAGATAGATAGATAGATAGATAGATAGATAGATAGATAGATGTGTATGTATGTGTGTATATGTATATAAATGCACATATGTGTATATATTATCATGGGCATCTTGTCAGTGAAGCTGGTTCTGTGATTAGTAGTAAATGTCCATCACATGCTTTGAGATGGTGCGGCATTTACTACACTGAGCCGTAGTTCACTGACAAGCTATGCAATATTGTGTTCGTTATTGGAGATGTATCGCCTCCAATAATGAACAAGATATTGAGTAGCTATATATGTATGTATATGTGTGTGTGTATGTTTATGTGTGTGTGTGTATGTATGTATGTATGTATATATATATATATGTGTATGTGTGTGTGTGTGTGTATATATATATATATAGACAGACCCACACACACATTTATTTATTTATTTATTTTAGAATGTAAGAGACATCCTTGCAGCAACATCCTTTGGCAGCAGTATTGTGGATGCCATTGAAAAAAGGAACTGCATTTCAATTAAAGACAGACAAGCGATGGTTCGTATCTTGGTATCACATCTAATTGAGCGCTTTGGAGAAAAGTAAGTACATATTTAAGTAATGGATTTAATGCTAAAAATATTGTTTGAGATATTAAATGCGTTAATGTGTATGTATGTAGTATTGTTAAAAATCAAAATATTGTTTCTTTTAGTCCAAGTGGAGCAACAAAAGTTACCCTGGCTTCATCAATAGTTGAACAATTTCCATGCCTTAAGGATTCCCAGGGTAAAGGCTATGTGAGTACAGTGTCTAAGACAACGATTTAATTTTTCTGAATATTTTTTTCTGTGTCTCACAATCTGATTACTAATTACAAATCTGAAATTTCTCTGTATTTTCTTATTTAACTACCATGTGACAAGTAGATACTTGTTAAAAAATAATTACAAATTAAAAATGAAATGGGAAATTTTTTGACATACCCTAACTGTATTGAACCAGAATACACAGAGTTCACTGCATGTAACTTCAACACAACTAATGTCACTATTACCTTAGTAGTTCTGGAACTCTGGGAACCCCCATTATGTAAATTGGGCCAGTATTGTATTTTCTAATTCTGTTTTTGTATTTTTTGAACACAAGGAGGCATGGTTCAGTCCAGGTAGATTTCACAGACCTGCCACAGGCTTCCTCGAAGAGCGTCTTCGGAACGTGCGCAAAAAGATCCGAAGAGGAAGACAAAAACCAGTTTCTTCAGACAACCCAAGACACAGCAGTAATTTTACTTTGCCAGGTATGTGGGTACATTTGTGTAGGGTTGGGTATCGTTTAAAATTTGATCAAATCCAAGACCCTAAAGAGTCAGATCAACTTGTGGAAAATGGGCATTCGATGACCCCTTTAAAAGACCTAACTGTTTGGTATGAATACGACCTCTATTTGCCAACATAAATTGCTGCATGTTTGTGATGTATGGTTCTTCTCACAACAGAGTCAAATGTGGACTCGGAAAGAGCGACTCAAATGATAGAGTGGCTCAGAAATAATATCTGGCCAGCAAGTCAGGTCGAGAAGTACATGAAAGAGACAGCGATCCAAAGGGCCACATGGATTCGTAACGATGGATCCAAGACAATAATGGAAATAGGCAAAGAGTATCCACGTCTCCTCGACACTCCGGGCATGGTGGGTAAAATTTAAAATTGAAATCGTTGGCTCAGTATGTTCCTTTTTGTTTTACAACTTTTGCCATGTTTGTCTTTGTTTTCTGCTTTTTAGATATCCCAGGATTTCTTAATTTTGAATCCAGACTGCGCTTCAAAACTCACAGAAAATTGGGTACCTGTGTTTAAGGATAAGATTCTACAGTTTGCCAGCAAACAAAAACAAGCTCTTAATCTACTTCACGACATAGAAACAATGTCAGCAGGTAATGGGTATTTAGCAAACAGTGTTACAAAATTGAATTACTTTCCCATCAATCCCAAAAAGGATAGATTGTGAATATTGTCCCTTTATATAAAAATGACTGTTAGTAATGACAATTTCCATTTTCTTTTTCAGCATTTTCTTAACACAATTTTATAGATGAATGTCATATACTGTATATAGATTTATTTCAGCCAACTTTTGTTGCAGTTAATTAAATTTTTTACATTTTGAGTGGTTTTTTTTGTTTCTGAAAGTGGTTTATTTTTATTTTAAAGAGACACAGAGTGACATTGCCATGCAAGTCCTTCCTGTAATCCTTCCAACGCATGTGTACAAAATTGGAAGAAAAATGTTCAAACCAACTTTCCTAGAAACCAGGAAAGCCTTCATAGACATACAGCCAGTAAGTTAACAGCTACTGCTAAAACTGCATGATTTAAAGTATTTACAATATATTGTATGGGCCCTTTTCACAGGAAAAAAGAAAAAAAAAAACAATAATTAACACTGCAGTGAGGATGTTTATTAAAAAAATGGAATTTAAAGGGAATAACAATATGGCAAAATTTCCTTATTTGGGAAAGTCTTGGAAACTATTTCAATTTGATTTGATTTTTTTATTTTTGTCATTAGACCAAATACAAAAATTATATTTGCCGTTATCTCCCATTCAACCCTATGAAGTTTTCAAAATGATGATGACTTCCACGTCTGAGATTCTCAGTAATGTGAAAAGGACCCGTTGTATATATTTCTTGAAACCTTCATTGTTGAATGACAAATTATTGTATTTTTAATGAAATTTGAGAGATTTTTGTCCCTCCATTGACAGTGTCAGTACCACTTTGAAGTAGGGTTGACGTGATTTTTCCACCAGTTTATTGACGTGTCACAACACCGGTAATAGTTGTGCCAAGGCCATGGTCAGTGGTTAACTAATGCTGATAGCTTGGTGTGTTATGGTCTTTAATGCTCCTAAAGGTTTTTTAGGTGTTCTAAAGGTAATTCTAAAGATATTTAACTTTTACACTTTTGAGTTCTTAATGAATCTATACCATTTCTTTTTTATTTATTTATTTTTCCTTTTTTCAGATTATGACAAATATGGCCGAGTACCTTTGTTCAAGACAGTCCTTCGAGTTCCCTTATGTTCTCATGCTTGGAGACAGCCAGTGCTTTCAAGCCTTTGCTGTAATAAATGGCACAGCACTTGAACAAAGTTCATTGCTTGCTGCAGTGGACGTTTGCTTTAAAGCCTTCTACGTCTTTGATGTGAACTACCCCAAGCAGTGTTCCGTGGTGTGGCAGTTTCTACAGACTGTGGTGTATGGAGTTCCTGGGGAGGAGACACCGGCAGTAAGAGTTCTGCGAGCATTAATTTTTGCTGACAAACAGTAATTATTATTACTGTGACCTCACCGCTTCCTTGGATTCTGTGTACTTTAACTTGTACACCTTTACACGTTCTAAATACTTCAAAACTGCAGTTGTATTACTTTACATGATTGTTCAAGTAAAAGTTATGAAATGTTTTCCTATTATAAATGTGT